ATTCAGTCTCCCATTAAGGGCTAACCCCTGACTATAGTGTTAAGAATTCAGCCTGTGCTCAAATGCAGAGGTTTTCATAAGCTACACAGAAGGTGAGATGCTATTGCTGGGTTAAGATTTTATCCGACATATGGAAGCCCAGTACCTATAAATGAAATGATGAAAATGGTGTAGTGGATGTGGCTTTTAGTTTGTTCACAGAAGAGGATTCACTGTTGTAATAGAGAAAGACTCATAAGTATTTCTTTCCTCAGAACACTTCAATCTGTGAAGAATTTACAGAAGAAGGAAAATAAATCAGACAGTGCCAAAATCTTTGCTTTCCAACAACTTCTGCTTTTAATGGCCATTCATCTGTTCAAGGTAACAACTCTGAAACGCATTTGAGTGGTGTACAACAGGCTGATAGCTGCTGTGCTTTCTGAACACTCAGCTAGAGATTTTCTTTCTGTTTAGAGATCCAATCTTCTGAAGCCTCTAACTTCTTAAGACAGACAATTGGCAGTTAATAAGCTGTGATTCTTACGGTGACTGTAGACATCAACATATGAGGGGAAAACTTGGCCTAAGCAGTGGTTTTGCCTTTGACTTGCTGCATGGGTGAAATCGTCCTGCTTATTTGCATGTTTTTTTTCAGCAAAGGAGTTGTTGTAACTGATTTTAATCTGTACCTATTTGAAGAAATCCTTGGATACAGGGAATATTCCTTTTGTTGCCGTTGATAGCAGGAAGTTCACAGGGTTGTTTGTTTTCTATCAAACAGAATCCAGATGAAACAATGGAACTTCTGAGTGACCTTCTGGACTGCACAGAGAGGGCCTTTAGCAAGGAACCCAAGAAAACAAACACTGGTGAGTCCTTCTTGAAGAAAGAGATGGGATGGGATTAGTAATACTCTGCAAAACCAGCAAAGAACCTGGCTTGTTCTTCTGACTTCCTCTCTAACTATGGTCTTACTATTCTCTTTAAATCCTTATATAAATTTGAAGGTACTGTGAAAATAACACCCATAGGTCTCTGAAGGCATGGTTGTATGTAGACTAGGGTCCCAAACTTTTGGGCTTGTGGACCTCTCTCAAACTGCTGCACTTCTCACAGGCTGCTGTGATTCTGGATTTGATGGGAAACACTATGAAATAATACACTTTTGCTGAATGGCTGTATGTTCCCATGCAGAGAACTTGGAGCCAGGATGGGTTGAGGTGATTGTGGAAATCCTTCTCTCTCTGCTTGCCCAGCCCAGCCTGCTCATACGTCGGATCTCCAAGAGTGTGTTTGGAAGGATATGTCCTAATCTGACCAAGAGAGGCCTGCAGCTGATCTTGGATGTAAGTGAGACACAAGAGGGGATTTTACTGATTGCCTGGGTTGCCCTTAACAGATATAGAAGCATGTCTGGTGACTATTCTCTGTTTTGGGATTAAATGATTCTTGATTTAGGAACCAGGTCTGGCATATACACAACTGAGTTTTAAAAGTAGTGTACAAGTCATGTTATTTATGGAAGCTGGGGATCTACTCATTTTTGGCTATATTCTTTGGTAGTTTTAGACTGAGGAAATTCCTGCATCAGACTTAATAACTGGTAGTTTTTTGTGCATGAATATAAGTAGTAGCTGTTCTTTTTTTTCTAAATAGTCTAAGCGCTGAAGTGCTAAAAATAGCTGACATTGAAAATCTGAGTTGGTCACATCTCTGAGTAAAGTGATGTCTTCTGAGACAGTAATATATGGATTCAAAGATCAGCCATCAGGCACTTTATACAATACATCTAGTATATGATTTGTAACAAATCAAAATGATGATCTGTCTCCTCTCTCTTCTGTTTTTTCCACCTTTTTCTTAGTTATAGAAGGAACTTAAAGCACATTATGGATTTCCATAAGTAGCTGGTACAAACGTGTCTTTATAAACCAGAAAGATGAATGTTGTTACTCATTATGTCATCCTTCACCTGGCTTATTGTGCTGAAATCAATGTCTGTTGCGCACAAGAAATGTATCAAAATAAAACACTTAAACAAGCAAACTCTCTGCCCCCCTCCTCCCCGTTTTGCAGGTTCTTGACCCGTACCAAGATCAGGATGAAGAGAGTGCAGTTGTTGTGATGGAAGAATCGGACAAGAAGACCAAAGCTTCACTAGAGGGCACGGTAATGGATGCATCATTACTTGCACCAAATACTTTTCAGGCTGGCACTGCTTAAAAATCTGCTCTTTCTAATCTGTGGTAATAGATGTAATTGCATTTCCTGTCTTACAAAAATAGCTGCTGCTCTGCTAATGTTAATGAAAATGTTTTTTTTTT